CAGTAATACGCTACAGTACTAGTATGCTATTACAATTGCAATACGCTGTGCTATTATATTATAATGGTAGTGAACTAAATCAAGAGTAGCGTATTATACTCGTTGCATACGTTTAGTGCCTTATAGTATTCGCGTGCCAAATAACGAATGGCTTATCCAGGACCAGATTTCACGGCGTATTGCACCAACCCCTTGCTCCTGGTTTTTTTGGAGCAGGGGCGCGAATAATATGAATCCGTAACTTGCTCAAATCTTAGCCATTAGCAGCATTGAGACGATGCGATATCCGTGAAATTTGGTATTCTAGGAGTCACTGATCATTTGCATACTTGGGTGTTAGGTCTGTCGAATATCAATAATATGTAATGTGCTAATATTCACTATTGTTGAGTACTGTAGGTGCAAAAACGTGTTACTTGACTAAATACTAGTAGTCTACTACCATATTGTATTAATATTATCATACTATAAGACCGTTCCGCTATTTGCATCATCCTACATTGCTATAATACCAGTTGCTACTAGTGTAGCATAGTAGTACCGGGCTGCTATACCGCTGTAGTCATATACTGATTAATACTGTACAGTGAGTACGGTTTCCTATTGGCACTGTGACATCTGATCATACTAAATTTGCACTACCGGTATGATATAGCAATGTACGTTTTACTTCTCTGGATTTATGCTGCGTTGCGACTGACACTGTGTGAACCTGAAATTTTACCTGCAATATTGAGAATTAGCATCAGCGAGTAAAGCCAAAATGTCATAAGTCTTACCGTTTATACGTACTCTAGTGTACTATCAGCATACTGTTAGAATCGAAATATGTATTACCGTGTAAGAAGTACTGCAGCATGCAGTCATTGCACTATAGTAGTGCAGTTCCATGCTACCAATGTAGCATAGCATTACGTTACTGATCGAACTCTATTTCTAAACAACTATGCTGCTGTAATAGTAGTATGCTAATATAATTTACCAGTATCATAACAGTCTGCCATTGTAGTATCTTCTCATGTTATTGGTATATTATTAGATTTGTAATATAATTCGGCGCTGTACCATTTGTATAGTATTGTATGTCAATAGCATCTTGTACTGTTTAATTGATGGTATAGCAACATACTTTATTGTTATTCTCATAATATACAGTACTATAGTACTATAAAATATCATTGTCTGCTCTTGTAATGCACTAGAAAAGCGTGCTATTATAACATATTACTGGTAT